TGAAGTACTTGCTTAAATATGATTGGGCTTTAAATGTGACAGTCAAAGGTGTCAGTGTAAATATCAGCCCTATGAGACCGCTCACTGCTTGTACTTTTAATAGGAACAGAGGTTTTAGTAATCATTAGGTGCATTATCTTAATGATCCCAGTATTTTACAAGGTCTTGTCATCAGTAATATTTTTGTTTTAGCATTTATGTCTCCTGCCTATAACAAGAAATGAGGAAAATTAAAGAATGTTTGCCTTGTTCAGATAAGTCTGGATGTAGGATCTCAATGTGAGTAAACATAGTGAATTGTGTGATAGCTCCAGGCTGGCCAAGGCCACTTCCTGCACCCTTCCCCCTTGCCAGGACTCTTCACCTGTTTGTGCCTGGCCATCTTCCAGCTCTCATGTGAGGATTGCCTTAGCTGAGCAAACAAAAAATTGGTGGTGTCAACTGGAGAAGAGTATGTGCTGCTTTGGGAGGACCAAGACTGCTTAAATTAGAAGCATCATGGGCAACCCATGCTCCTGCTATTTCTGCTGGAAGGGCAGGTGGGCATCCCTTTTACCTGCAGTTACACCAAGAGAAGCTATTAGGTTTCACATTAATCAAGATGAAGTTTGCTTCTGTAGCAGCCTGGCTGAGAAGTCAGAGGTGGATATAAATGGAAAGTGGAGCATCTTGGTTTTAGACTCTGAGTTTGCCTTGGTCCACCCTCTATTTCCTTGGTGCTGTGGCTGTGCATGGTGCTTCAGAAGTGCTGGTGAGGACGAGGTCTCAGCTGGCTGACTGTTCAAGTGGAGTTTTAGACCTCATTAGTACCCGTGGAGGCAGTGCAGGACTGGCCAGATGACATGGGCACAGCTGCACAGTTGTCCTTGGTAGTACTGAACCAACCCTGTGAGGATGTTTCATCCTGGTTGCAAATGGATCCTACTCTGTCTCAGGGGTATCAGGGTCCAGCACTTTCCTTGGGGGCTCTTTTTGTCACTGAGGCACCACACATCTTCAGTATTCTTGAAATGTATAGGAGTTTCAGGCTGGCATGACTGGGTGTTCACATCTCCTGGGGCCCAGGGTGGGGGTGGCGTTAGCTGTCACCCTGAGGGTGAACAGGCAAGTTCCTAGGAGCCATGTCTCAGAGAATACCAGCCTGAAGCCTCCTCTGCAGCTGGTCCTTCCTCCACCCCAGACCCTTCCTGGATATCAGGCCATTTGCCTGTCAAGAGGCTCACATTAACCTTTTCCTTGACCTTGCCCAGTGCTTATTTTCACATCCCCAGCTGTTGGATTTAAACTTGGAACCTTTGGTGCAAAGACAGTGCCATTTATTTTTAACCTGTGACACCGTGTGAACATCAATTAGGACTGAAAATAAGGAATGCAAACCTATTGACACCCTTCTTGGCTGTTTCAGTGAGGAATGCTGGTGTGACAGCTCAGCTGCTCCCTGCACAAGAATCACGAACTGGCCAGTGAACAAGTTGAAGAAATAGGAAATATTGTGTCCATCCATGTGTTTGAGCAGGAGTTTGCCATCTTGGCTGCTGGAAACATAAGTTATTTTTGGGCGAAATAAGGCCTGTTCTATTTGTGCTGTAGTACTACAGTGTTCTAAATGTTTGGGCAGCCCAATGCACCGCTGGCTTTGTAACTAGAGGAGCAAATCTTGGATAGCTTGGGGTGTGGACAGCACTGTGCTGGTATATTTGGAACAGGACGTTGCCATCCAGAAAATACCTGTGTAGTTAAAAATACTCAAGAGGATGGATGCAGGCATTTCTGGAAGTAACTGGAGTCCTGGCCAGTATTTCTGAGAATTGCTGAGAGTCTTTCTAGTTTATTCTAGTGACAGCTGTATGGAATGTGTGAGTTAATTTTACAGGTAAATGGCTGTAGGATCAGACCCCTCATGAGAAAAACAGCACCACCAAATCATCTGAGCTCAAGACATCATGTACGGCCCTCCCAGGTCCTGGTAGTAGTTCTGATGCTGATCTATAATCTAGATGCTATTAGGAATGTAGTCCCATATGGATTAGCCTGTGCTCTGTGATGGTTGATCACTGCACCAGCACATCAGGAGAAGGAATAGAAGGATGTAGTAGTCAGCCAGGGCTGACTATGGCTGCACTGTTAAATGGAGACAGAAGGAGATTTGGTGATGATGCAGCTGCTCCCTGGAATATGACAGAGATTGCTAAGGAGGAGCCAACAGTTCAGTTGTTTTAATATTCCCTTGATAATCAGGAAATCCCACAATATGGGAAGCTTCATCCTTTCCTGTCTCATTTAGTGGTAAACTTGAATGATGAAAACCAAAACCAAACCCCAAATCCTATGTAATGTAATGATATAAATACATACATTCAGTTCCATGGATTAACTCCTGGTGATAGAGGTTTCTCCCCTCCTTATTGACTTTGTTCTCTTGATTCAGTTGAACATCCCCTTACACTGCATCAGGAGTAGGAGCAAATAACCCCAGATATTTGTCTTTGCTGCAAAAAAATCCACAAAAATCTCAGCATTTACAGTCACTCTTATGGATCTTCCCAGTGCAGTTCCACACACTTTCATTGCTCTTCTGCTTTCCCCTTCCACTTTCTCTGTGTCCCTTTTTACAAAGAATGACTGGAAGCGCATGAAATCCCCCCAGATTGGAGATTGCTGCTGTGCCTAATAGGATTAGAAGATTTTCAGCAGTTATCCTTATCCTATTCTTTAGGCAGACTAACTTTTACTTAGATTTTTGCCTCTTGTTGCACAATTAGTTGACTGTTCAGTGATTTCTTTGCAGCTGCTCTTTGGTCCTTTTTCAAGGTGATTGTAATTGAAGTAGAGCTCCAGCATGGAGCGGTGTAGGAATTGTTAGGCTGTTTGGTTATTTGTTTAGTGCTGCAAGGGAGCTTTTCCTGACTCACTGATGAATGTCACTACTTCCTTGCCTTTCTTTGTACCTTGAGGGTATGTGTTTCTTTTAGTCTAGACTGTAGAAGCATATTTCCAAGCACCTCTCCTATGAAGACAGACTGAGGGAGTTGGGGCTGTTCAGCCTGGAGAAGAGAAGGGGAGACCTCATAGTGGCCTTCCGGTACCTGAACTGTACCTGTACTTTCCTGTACAGGAAAGCTGGAGAGGGACTTTTTACAAGACTATGGAGTGATAGGATGAGGGGTAACCTTTTCAAACTGGAAGAGGGGAGATTTAGGTTAGATATTAGAAAGAAATTCTTGGCTGTGGGGGTGATGAGTCAATGGCACAGGTTGCCCAGAGAAGCTGTGGATGGATGCCACTTGTGTTCAAGGCCAGGTTGAAGCAACCTGGTCTAGTGGGTGGTGTCCCTGAAAAGTGCACATGGGCAGGTGTCCCTGCCCATGGTAGTGGGGTTGGAACTAGATGATCTTTAAGGTCCCTTCCAACCCAGATCATTCTAGGATTTTGTGATCTCTGTAGCAACTCCCTGGTTTGCTGATCTGCTTCTGCTTTTGCACAGAGGGTAAAAGAGCTAAGGGTACATAGGTCATTCAAAGGCGCTTTGAAAGATGGAAATGGGTGGGGAGTGGGTTGACTGTATTTGTAGCCTGGTTTCCTAAGGAAATGAGGCTTAAACAGGCTTAGTTTTCCACTGTTGCTAGCTTGTGGATCCACAAAGTGATTGTGGCGAAAACAGATGGGTCAGAGAGGTCTCAAAAATTATTTTCTGCATTGTTCAGAAGAATTAGCTGCTGGGTAGGAGATTGTCTCATAGCAGTGTCCGTCAGGAGGCAGAGGCTGCGGTGTTAACTCCATAGGTGGGTTGTTATTTTGGCTTGCCAGCTGGCAGGCACCAATCAGGCAGTCAGGACGTGTACCATGGAAGGAGTAATATAGCACATGTGGTTCCAAGAACAGTTGGCAGTTGTGGACGGGGACTGAGGGTCTGTGCTGTGACTTTGGGGATGCCTAGAGGAAAGCTGAAGGTCCTGTGGTGTGGTTCAGAGATGAGGTAGAACTGGAGTGTTGCAGAAGTCTGGAGAAAAGAAGACTGAGGGGAGACCTCATCGCTCTCTACAACTACCTGAAAGGAGGTTGTAGCGAGATGGGGGTTGGTCTCTTCTCCCAAGTTACAATAGATAGAACAAGAGGAAGTGGCCTCAAGTTGTTCCAGGGGAGGTTTAAATTGGATATTAGGAACAATTTATTTACTGAGAAGGTTGTCAGGCACTGGCACAGGGTGCTGAGCAGTGGTGGAGTCACCATCTCTGGCATATTTAAAAGACTTGTAGATGTGGTGCTGAGGGATGTGGTTTAGCAGAGGACTTGGCAGTGCTGAGCTAGCAGTCTTTATGATCTTAAGGGTATTTTCCAATTTATAAAAGTCTTTTCCAAAAAAAAAAGTCTTCTAATCAAAACGATTCCGTGATTCTAAGATTAGAGAAATGAGAAGGAACTAGAGAATGGCATGGATGGAATTTGTGTGGTTTGGGCTACTGCTCCTCAGACTGTGTGTTGTCAGGATGACTGTCAGCGAACAGCTTGTTTTAGAGGTGATGAGCTGATACGCAGTGGAGCAGCAAGGAGCACAGAAGTTCCAGGCTGTAGGAGAAGACATACAAGGAGTAGCAGAGTAATAAGCTCATGGCACTGTCAATTATTAGAGAGAGAAGGAACTGAGGTAGGATGTGATCAAATACCAAACCAACACTGTAGGGAGGAACAACAATGTTTTTTAGGCACTGGGAGGCAAGGATAAGAATATTACTTCAGCTTGGTAGGCAAGGGTGGCTTCTGTGTGTGTGTATATCCGGGAGGCATGGAGAAGTTTAAATGTTGGTGCATTGAGATGGGGCACAGATCAGCACAGCACACAAGGGAGGCTGGAACGGAGTCTCAGACAAGGAATGATTCAGTGGCTGGGGCAGAGGGGCAAAGAATCAGCCTGGGTTTTGTGTCTAGTGTGTAGAAGGAGTGATTTGGCAGCAGTCTGAGCGAGGGGATGAAGGAAGGCTGGAATCATTGATAACTTTACGCAGGAAGCTTGGATGAAGGGGAAGGGAGAAGTATTGTCTGCAGCAGGAGAGGAACTGAGGGGAAGAGATAAGAGGATTGATGTGTATGTTTGAATTAAATAATTGTACTCAAGCCTGATCCAAAGCCTAGTGAAAACAGTAACTTGAAGAGACTTTTTAAAGTATGTCTCTGTGCAGATATTTGTCTCCAAAACCCTGAATATGCTTTCAGAAATACTTGAACATCTTCCATTTGTAGGGTGTACTCAGAGGTTAAGTGACTCCAAGCCACACACTAAGCCACAGCAGTGACAAGACCGGGATCCAACATTCCTTATAACAGTTTTCAGTCTGTGGCAGTAATAAATGTCCATATATGCACACAACACACTAAAATGCAAATCAGTGAAACTCTCCGTCTCCAGTTTAGGGAGGGCACATCGCCTTATTAACTGTCTCTTGCTCTGCATAGACGAGCACTGTATTGCAAGAAACTATTACACAATTTCCTTCCCTCACAGGAATTTTTTTTCATGTGTTTATTGACAGCAACTACTGATTTTCTAGTGATCCTGTAAAATCTTTGCTTCTTAAGGATCCAGTTGCTTTCTGTTACTAGCACAAACTGAGGAAACGAGTATCAATCATTCAGCGGTTATTTGCAGGAAATGAAAGCGTGAGAGAGCAACCAGTCTGGGCCAAGAAGGAAGGACAGAAATCCAGTACTTAATACAAGTAGAGCCAAAAATGTTACTCATATGCTTGGCTGTTAGTTTCTGAATATTGTGGAACTTTCTTCCTTTTGTGAGCTCAAACTTCTTTGGATTAGGTCCTGCTGCCATTTAACTCAGAAGAAATATTTGTTATTACCTTCAGAGAGAACAGGATCAAGGTGTTGTCTGTGTTGGTCCTTGCCTTAACCAGTGGTGCTGTTTCTTAAGATACTGCAAGGGACAAAAACGCATTTTGGTTTCCGAGAATCTTTCTGAGCATTTGTATCTTAATCCTTGCACATAGCACAGTCCCTGTGGGTGAAATAGGTGCAGAGCTGATTGTTTCCAGCAAAGCTTTTTGAAGCCAGTGTGAAGCTTCCATAAAATACTGAATCTCCTCACTTAGTAGCTGCCTTTCTGAAGTCTTCATTGTGCCTCTGGTTTTGCTAAGCTATGCTACACTAAGCATGCTGAATAGCAGACAAATTGTCTTCAGTCACTGCTTTGGAAATCAAGATGTGTGCTGGCTCAGTCCATTCTTTCACAAGTACCTGCTTGAGCTACGGGAAGTACCATGGTGCACCATATCCCAGAGTGTTAATTTTTAATGTCTTATGCACATAATGGACTCAACTGTAATTACCAGCCCCATGGCACACAATTGCTAGTGGCAGGATGGAAAAGATGACTGTGAGCTCATGTGGCTCCACAATTAGGGCTTGAAACCTTGATCATTTCCATCCCCAAGAGCAGCATAAACAGCTTTCTGAATTTATAGCAATAGCTTCAGTGGAAAGAGGGGTAGTTGCAAGCCAGTAAACATTTCCCTGCAACCTATTAAATTCAGACTTTGCAGCATCATCCTACTGCACTGAATAAAACTGACTGAAACCTGGGCAAGGCAAAGTGGTTTTGACAAGCTTGTGCTTATGTCCAGAATAATGCAAGTGAATGAGCAGCTAGGCAGGGATGCGGAGAGGAGTTAGAATAAAAAAATTCTCAATGTTTTTTTCTCAATAGTGCTATTTTTAACTTGCAGATCCTTATTCCTTTCTTCCATGAAATCTGGAAGCTGACAGCATGCTTTTCAGATTTGAAAATGAAGGAACAGTCTGAAAGAACAGCAGAGCTGGGATTCTTAGGCCTGATCCTGTTGCTGTGTATCTGTGAGCAAATTCATCTAATTTGATGAGTCCAAACGGACTTTATTAAACAGTGTAGTTGTCTTCCTTTTAGGAGGTTTAATGTAGGATAAGGCCCCAGCATTCAGACCCTTGCACCAGTAGAACCTGGATGCTGCTTCATCCTCTGCCATATTTTCAGAGTATTAAGTAAAGGTAGAAGGGATTTTAGAGACATGATTCTCATTTTGTCCTGCCTCGAAGCAATACTCCTATATTCCTGGTGTCACAGTATGGTTTTTTTAATTCATCTTTTTAATTTCCTTTTAAAAGCGTGGTGGCCTTTTTTTTTTTTTCATCTGGTTGGTTGGTTGTTGGTTCATTTGTTTTCTGTGTAACTCATAAGGTACAGCTATGAAAACCTATTGCAAAGGGAAAGTCGACCCAAATCCCTGCTCTTCATTCATGCCACTGGCAACAGTTTCTCTGAATTCAGTGATGTGAAGTCACTCCTGTGCTGTACTTAGAGCACTCAAGCTTAAATCAAATCCTAACACTTTTTTTTTTTCAGTGCAAAAAACACATTTAACAGGCATGGGTAAAAAAACCAAAACCTTTCTCTGTGACAGGAAATCAATTTAATCCCTTTGTTGTTTGTTTTTTTCCAGGCTTATCTTTGGCACTCTTTACCCTGCATATTATTCGTACAAAGCCGTGAAATCAAAGGACATCAAAGAATATGTGAGTAATGAGGTTTGTTGCTGTGCTGCAGGGTTTGTTTTCTGAGATTGCTCCTTACCACATTGTAAAGGTGTTGACTGTATTCTGGGAAAGCTTGTAAACCAGTGCAAGGAGAAGACTGGCCTGAAGGTGGACTGGCTGATTGCTGGGCACAAATCTCAAATAAGGAAACTTGGGTTTGTGCTTCTGGCTCCTCTGCAGATCTGATGTGCTGTTGACAAATGGGTGCTGTTTCTCTTGTGGTGTGAGCTATATACAGCCGACTTAAAAGGTGTTTGGCATCCAGAGCTTTGCAGCCTGTTATCCTTTGTTTCTCAAGAGCAGAATAAATCAAAGCCTTTTCAAAAAGCCTTGAAGCTTTTGCTGCTCATTCAAAACAAGGATCAGAGGAGGCAGCTCAAAGCTCATATGACTGAATCCTCAGACAGAAACATCCTTCCTTGTGGAGTGACCTATTTACAGGCAGGTTTGGCAATTGGGTGTGCTGTCTTGTCCTTTTGCTGAGAAATCTTCCCTGAGCCCCAGTTTCTGAAGGCATATGGGGCCATCAAGGGAAGTGAAATGTGGGAGAATCCAACCACTTAGATGTTGTTGGAGTCCTGTATTATTTGCAGTGCTCTTCACAACCTGAGCTTAGTTAACTTCATTGAACCCAGCTCAGCCTCCAGAGCTTGACTCTTCAATCCTCTCAAGATGACAGGGAAAACAAGCCCATTTTCTCCTCTGGGTAATGGCATAGATGGCTATCCCATTAAGTCCTTAGTGTAAGCTCAAACTAGGACTGACTGTGGCTGCTGAGATTTTTCCTTTGACAGTTCTCTCCTTCAATTAATGGGTTTGGATATTTTAAGGATCATAAGTGTTACTAAACACATCAGATACTTATGGCAAAATGTCCCTGCAGTCCTTGCACAGCAGGGCTTCTCAAGGTTTGTACACCCTTTGCTTGGAAATGCTAAGGATGTGCAGCAGCATCACCAAGCAGTGTCTGCCACTTAAAATTTCCACAGTCTCTGTCTGGAAAGTATTTTGTTGAAGTGTCCAATTCCTGTTGAAAATTCAATTGCAAAAGAGGAACTTGAATCAGACACACAAGGGGTCATGACCCAGGTGTAGGACCAGCTAATCTAAGACCTGGTCTGCACTTAAAATTGTTTTTCACTTTAACACACCAGTTGTAGTGATATGTCCATGTAAAAAAAAATATGTCTGATGTAAAAAAAAAATTAAAAAAAAATAATTAAAAATAGTAGTTTACACTGACCCAGTACAACCCCTTTGTGTGCTAGTCAAAACTTATATCAGTAGAGTTTACTTTTATTTTCTTGGCAATAAGCATTTTGATAAATATAATTTTAGGCTGATCAGAGCCCATCCACACCAGGTCTTGGTTTGTGTGTAAAAGTTTTGCTGGCAGTAATGTCTAACCGACAGAACTATGCTGGCAGTAATGTCTGACTGACAGAACTGTGCTTTGAAGGAGCTGCAGTTACATAAAAAGTCTGGCAGAAGCTGCCTTGGGAAGATGATGCTCTCTGGCATTTGGCAGAGCCATTCTACTGCTGTGACATGGATGATAAATGTAAATGTACCTACAAATATGCATAGAAATCCCAGGAGAGCAGCTGTACAGTTAAGTGACAGGTACTCAGGGAAAAACTTCAGTACCTGAAGGGAGATGGAAAGAAGTAATGTCCACACTGCACTGGTGAGAAGAATGAGGAAGCCATTTCAGGGGTGAAATCCAGATTTATTGCCACCTCCATCCCCACTTCCCTAGACATTTGGTCTAGGTATCACTCTTGTACTGTCTTCTTTCCAGCCTCCCCTCATTCTATTGCAGTTATCCCAGCCTTAAGTAACAAAGTCCAGTTTTCTAATTCATGGATTTTTGTGGTTTTTACTTTCTAAAGCTTTCTAACATTCCAGCAAAGCTGCTTAGGGATCTCCATTTTCAAATATAGCTAATTAGACAACAACTTTCAGTTAAATTAACAACTTTTGTCTTCCTATCTCTTTTCCTTTGGAGAGGCAGATTCTAAAAGCTCTTTGAACTTTAAATTTTACAATTTTACAATGCAAAAAAAATACTGAAGAGGAATAAAAGATTTCACTCTCATCTCCAGCACTTGGAAATTATTTCTTACATCATCCCTGTGATGACAGTGCCTCAAAAGAGAAGCACCACATGACTTGAGAGAAATTGCTGGAAGTGCTGGTGGCCTATGACAAATATGTTGTTTCTTTCTAGCCCAGGAAGAACCAATAGTGCATGCATCAGAATAGTTTAGCTATGCTTTTAAATACCACTTAGAGCTCAGTGGCAAAAATCCTCAGATTGCTGAATTACTCGAGACATTACAGTCATGGTCCCCAAAGACACTTTCTGTCTGTCTCTGTCACCACAAAGGAAACAGTCCATAAATTGCCCACCAAGCAGTTCACCCCACAGTGGAGTCACCATAGCTGAGCACAGTGACAGCAGAGTACTTGCTTTCACTACCAATGTGAGGTAAAATGCTCTCACCAAAGCCCCAGGTAAGGGATTTAAGCAAATATACTTGCCCTTGCCACTGCACGGGACTCAGGGTGTGGATGTGAGGAGGCACCACCATGCACCTGAGGCACATTCATTCAGTAAGTTGTGGTCAGTTGGTTGTGCTCCTGAGACCTGGATCACAGGATGGACAGTTACCTCTTTATCTCTTCCTAACTAGTTTCCCCTGCCTCTAGATATTAGGTAAGTAATTATGTTTTGTCTTAACTGCAGTTTGGCCAACACCCTAGTATAAACCTTTGCTATTAAGATGAGCCAAGTGAGATATTTAATGCCCTGTGGCTGTGTTCCTCCATTGGCCAGTGGAGCTTCCTCTGTAAGAACAAGTCAGGCTGTTCTTCTTTTCATAAGACCAGTCTAAAAGGCCATAATCTTCCTTCCCAAGGGCTTGTATGGAAATCTGATGTGTGTTATGTGCTGAGGTGGGGGGAGCTCCGGCATCTTCAAGTCCACAGTAATTGTTTAATACACAGGGGGACAGAAAAAGGACCTTTTTTTTTCTGTGCACTTGTGCCTGGAAGAGATAGTTTGAGGGCCTTGGGGAAAAATGACCCAGCTGCTGTTTTTGTTCACCAGGTCAAATGGATGATGTACTGGATCATATTCGCGCTCTTCACGACAGCAGAGACTTTCACGGATATCTTTCTTTGCTGGTGAGCACCAGATGGGAGAGGGTCTTTGGCATGTGATGGAAAGAAAATGGAAATGTTTACAAGGGCTAAAAAGGGGGACAAAGGAGCTTCCTGAACACAGGGTTAGCAGCTTCAGGTGCGTAGAGGGGTTTTGTCTGGAGGAGCCATGCTTCCTTTCTTAGTGCTCTCATAGGAAAAGCAAGAAAGGATGGAGCTGCTCAGGGATACCTCCTTAGTGAGAAATCATTACAGGAGTCTCAGTCCCCTGCCTGTCAGAGAGGTGTGCAGCTGATTGCCGAGCTGGATGCTCACAGAGATCATCACATAAACAGCAGTAGCTTTAGCTACAGGCATAGTTCTAGACTTGGCTGGCTGTGTCCTACAGTAAATACATAGACTCCAGGGTTCAGGCAGAAACAGCCCTGCAGCACAAGACTTGGTTTGTAGGTTGTTGCAGGAGTTGTTCCTGCGGGATTTCTCTAGGCCTGTTCCTGGTTAGGCTGGGTTTACAGTTTGATGGAGAGCAGTGACAGTCCATGCTGATGGGGGCTCTCTGGTGCCAGTGGGAGGATTCCTGCT